AAATCTCTCTCTCTCATGTCAGTACTTTTTTTTAAAATAATTCCCACCCTGTGCTCCAGTCAGCCAGTTCCCATGCCCTGTCCCACAGAATCAAGTTTAATGGTTCATACTGGTGCATTAGAAGGATGTAACACAAGTGATCCCAGGCTCTAGGCTATTTCCAAATTCAATGCTATGAACAGTTGTAGTTTTCTTGTAGGTGTAAGCCTATCTCTGAGGCCTGAGGGACCTGCTCTCACTGGCAAACTTCAGCCTCCAGCTTCTGCCTCTGGGTCCACAGATGGCTTTCTGTATCCCCTGTTGACCTTAAAAATAAAACAGTCGGGTTTTTTTATTTGTTTGTTTGTTTGTTTGTTTGTTTGTTTTTATCAGTAGGAATGGGTTTATCCAGGAATAGCAAAGAATTGCAATTCGGAGCAAGCTATAGAAAAACCGTAGGCAAGTCCAATATTATTTAAGAGAAAAAAGAAGAGGCTGGGAAATCCACTGCAGAAAAGCGAGGTTTCAGGGAGGCGCCAGTTTCTCATTGGCTGAGCTGATGGGGTAGTGGGTTTCTTCTAGGAGATGTCATGTACATCTTTACCTGTTGGGGTTTTTAACTGAAGGTTTTTTCCTGTTGACTTTGGTTCTGTTGGGTCCTGTCTGTAATTGACAATTCTTTCTGTAATTGACAATTCTTCCTGTAACTGACATCAGGTGGTTCTGTGTGAGAGCTCCCCCTTCTGGCCTCCCAACTTTATTGTTAGGTTTTCCTTTATTAATTTTCACACTCCTTACTACACTGTCACAATGATCTCTGTATTTATCTGTCTCTCCCATCAGTCTGTCAGCTTCCAATGGACGTAGATGCATCTCCATGTCCTCCACCCCTATATAGGTAGGGGATTTGGTAAACAATAATAGCAAACATTCATTAATGGCTTTCTCTGTGCCAGGAATTGGGCTAGACACCTTATGTGCATAATGTCATTTAATCTTCCTTGTAACCCTAGGAGTTAAGGATTAGACTATTCTCTATTTTACAGAGGAAAGTGAGGCTCAGAGAAGTGAAGTAATAAAAGTTAACGTTTATTGAGCACTACCCAAGTGTCAGACTCTGTGCTCTTGCTTTACATGGATACCCTCATTCAATCCTCAAAATAATGCTAAGTGACATGTACTATTCTTATTCTCATTTTACAGAGGAGGAAGAAAAAGGTCATATCGGTTGCCTTAAATCACACTGCTAATTAGTTAAGTCCAATGCCAAATTACTAGCCACCATGCCATGTAGTTTATACTCATTCATTCTTTCATTCAACAAATATTTACTGAGCACTTGCTCTCTAACTGCATTATGCTACATATTTGGTATAAATCAGTAAACAAAACAGACAAAATTCTCTGCCTTAAAGTTCCTCAATGTGATAAAGGGCATTTACAAAAAAAACCCTACAACTAGTGTCATTCTTAATGATGAAGTATTGACTGCTTTTCCCTTAAGACTGGAAACAAAGCAAGGATTTCCATTCTCATCACTTCTAATCAACATTGTATTAGTGGTCCTAACTAGTATAATAAGGCAAGAAAAAGAAATAAAAGGCATACAGTCAAACAGAAGAAGTAAAACTGTCAATATTTGCACATGATGTGACTGTTTATGTAGAAAATTCTAAGGAATCAAAATAACTACTAAAACAAAATGAATTTAGCAAGGTTGCAGGATATAAGATCAATATACAAAAATCAATTGTATCCTACCTGGAAAAACCTGTAAAATGAGATAGAAAATAATCCCCTTTACAGTAGTATCAAAACCAAAAATTCTTAGGACTACATTTAACAAAAGACAAGCAAAATTTCTACACTGGACAAGCAAGGTGGTGTCTGAGGCAAGCAAGGGGGTGTCTGAGCTGAAACCTTAACCATGAGCAGGCATGGACCAGGCAAAGGGTGTTCAGAGCCCTGCAGAAAACAAGTTGGGGCCCAAGAAAGCTTAGAGTGAATGTTGAAGACTGAACATAATAAACTCCAATTATTTATCATTGTGAGACGGTTTCCTTGCTTACCTGTGGGCAGCTGTGACAATGATATTTTCTGAGGTGGGTTGTTGCGGTCCTGTGGGCCACGGTGAAGGCTTTGTATTTTAAGTGTGATGGGAGCCAGTAGGTTTTGAGCTGGGTAACAGAATGATCTGGTGTATCTCTTTAGAATATGGTACCGTCTGCTCCGTGGAAAATGGACTTAGCAGCCACAGGATGTTGTGAGTATCCAGTGAGGTCTCTCCCTAAACTCTTCCATAGCTCTCCATCCTGCTGGCTCAGACCCCTTGACCTCTGCCCCTTCATCTCCTGCGGAGAAGAGCTTGCATTTTATGGAGGGAACCACAGGTTAGAGAGCTGTGGAGGGGGTTAAACTTGGGGAGGGAGTTCGAATGGGCCGTAACAGATAGCCTGCCTGCTGGCAACAAATGCTAAGCATTAAATGGGATTAGGTGGAAACTGAAAATATTTGAGACACATTGTTCACATTCTTGGCTGGTGAAATGGTTTAGGCTGAGGGGAGGGGGGAGAATTGAATGCCAGAAAGGGTCAGGGCAGATAAAACAAATCCCCCTTAAAGAGACAGATCTTACCGCTGGCTGGATGCCTCTACCACAAATCATCAGGATCCTGAACAGAAAACTAATGCTCAGCCTCATCCCAGACCCACACAGTCAATATCTGACCAGGCATTGGTATTCTTTTCCAATGAATATGTTTTTATTCACCATGAGAAAGAAACGATAATTATGTGACAAGATCACGTTGTTAGCTAACTATGGTGGTGATGTGTTGCAATACATAATTGCAATTAGATATATCAATGTGGATCAAGTTGACACATTGTACAGCTTAAACTTATACAATGTTATAGGTCAATTAAATTTTTTAAAAGAATGTATTTTTATCAAGAGCTCCCCAGGTGTCAGGGATTGTTCCAACAACTGTGGACGCAACAGTGGACCAAAGAGATAAGCAACCAGCTTTTGTGGCAAGGCATTTTGGAGCGGGGAAGGGAAGGATGTCGAATTGTGTCACCCACAGATCAGGCGTTTATCCAGCCTGTCCTTTAACTCCTTAAACGGAAGTCGAACATTTTCTCTGGACAGGTGTTCATGGTTGCTGACACCTCACCCTCTGTCTGACCCTGACCAAACTGTGCTCCTTCTGCTCGCCTCCCCGGAGCCTGGACTAGGCAGCTCCAGACAACTAACCAGCGCTGAACCGAAACAAGCCTCCCTGTCAGTTTCTGCGGAGAGTTTCCTGAGAACCACGCTGGTCAGTTACTTAACTTCCCCATGTCTACCCACTTGCCCTTACTGCAAACCCCTCTTACAACAGAAAAGCAAGGCCTTTTTTCTGTTTGATTGTGAGATGCTTGCAGATATCTGAGGAGCCTACTACAATGGCCTTTTTGAATAAAGCTTCTCCTGCTCTCAGTGTGGATATGTTTTTTATGTTTTTATTGATTTTAGAGAGAGAGTGGGAGAGAGAGAGAGGGAGAGAAACATCAGATGTAAGAGAGAAACATCGACTGGCTGCCTCCTGCATGCCTCCCCCCCTCTGGGGATCGAGCCTGCAACCCAGGCGTGTGCCCTGACCAGGAATGGAACCATAGTCTCCTGGCCTGTAGGTTGATGCTCAACCGCTGAGCCACACGGGCAAGGCTTCATTCCTTTTTATGACTAATAGCCCATTGTATGGATGGACCATATTTTATATATCCGTTCTCCAGTGGATGGGCGTTTGGGTCGTTTTCCCCTACCTCTTTCCAGACTCCTGAGGCATGGGAGGAGCAGAGTCCCACCAGGCAGACACAGCCCCGTGTGAGGACACAGAACTTCTGAGCCCAGTGGAAGCTGGATTTCAACCCAGACTTGCTCACTCAACTGCTTTGAGCAGTGCACAACCTTCCCAACTGAACGTGGTATTCCTGCTGATGCTAATTCAGACAGGAAATGAACTTCCTGAAAAGATATTGGGCAGTCTGGGAAGTGTTTCCTTGCTCATAGAGATGGCAGAGAAGCAGTCCTTTCCTGCTTCTGCACTGTGCCAAGGGAGGCGAAGGCCGGGAGGTGTCCCAGCCACGTTGCAGTTCCGAGGGCTGTTGCCGGGATGCCAAGACCGGCAGTGTGGAAAGATGGTGCAAACCTGGTTGGAGTTCACTGGCACTTTGCCAACCCTGGAGCTACCCTGTGGGCACTCCTACCTGAGATGCTGGACTCCTGGCTATCTAAGCCAGCTGAGTTGGAGTTCTGAGTTATAGGTGAAATCATCCTTACTCAATATGAATGAATGAGAGGAACTTTCGAGGTGGCTCAATTTCTGACATAAACCTAGAGCTTACCTGCTTAGACCAGCAGCCAGTGTAAAGGCATTGAGAACTCTCCTTGGAGAAATGTTTGGGGATCCCAAATAAAGGGCAGAATGGCCCCCCAACAAGGTCTATATCTCAATTCCCAGAACCCATGGATATGTAATTCACATGGAAAGTGGGACTTTGCAGGTGTGACTAAGGGTCTTGAGATGGGAAATTCCCCCATCTAATCACATGAGTCTTTAAAATCAGAGAACCTTGCCTGGGGTGGAGCCTGCAACCAAGGTACGTGCCCTTGGCCGGAATCGAACCTGGGACCCTCCAGTCCGCAGGCTGACGCTCTAACTGCTGAGCCAAACCAGCCAGGGCTCAGCATATTCATTTTGAGGGGACACAAACATTCAGTCCATAGTAGTTGGGCTTCAGTTTCTTATCCCCAGAAGCCAGCCCAGGTGTCCCGTGGGCGGTGTGCAGGCAGGACTGCGCCTGTGCAGGTCACTTAAGCTGTTTGGAGGCACCATTCCCAGAGTGTCATCATGAATGTCACCCTGGGGCAGGCCACCAAGGAAACAGATGCAGGTTTCACCTCCCTACCCTGGGACTGTCTCCCACCCTTCTTAGTCCCGGGGCACAGCATGGCAGGAGGAGCCACGAGACCAGCAGGCTTTTTAAAATAACTGCATCCTTTAATGGCAGTAATACAATTATTGGATTAAGAGACCACAGGAGAAAGGCAGGTGACGTTTCTGGAAGACAGATACAGAGTACAAAAAGGGGGTGGAATAGAGGCATGCGACGATCATTGTAAAAATACAGTACATTATATACATATTTGCACCATCAACTTTCTGAAATAGTATTTACACTTTTGTTACAATCCTGGTTAGAGAACAATTTTTCTTTAAAAGCTCGGCCTGATGGCAAATGAAAATTTTGGGTAAATTCATAGTCCCATGAGGTTCTTAGGCTGGATATCCAAGAGGGCTCCAGCTTCTATTTCATCCACAAATTTCAGTTTTAAAAAAGTATTTAATTTGCTTTTACAAAAGAAAATTCTGAGAAGGAAAAAAACCCTACAGCCACACTGTGTATTCTTACTTATTGTACAAACACCACCGGCTGCAGTCGTCTGCTCAAGGCCAACACATGGCTGAAGAAAAATCTCGCTAATGTTTAAAAAAAAACAAAACAAAAAAGACACAAAGACAAACCAAACCAACCTGATCATGGCGCAATGACCCTGTGGGGCTGCCTCTCCGGCCCTCGCTTCTGGCCCCAAACTCAATTAGATTTGTCTGGGGAGAGGGTATAGCAGCCTCATTCACCTCCCACCCCAAGGTGCAGGGAGGGGGAACCCTTCGGCTGGGTCACCAGGTTTCCTCATTATTAGCAAGGGAGGGATGGGGCCTTAAGGGAGGTGACTGAGGCAGTGGGATGAGGTGAAAGGCAGGAGGTCATGGACTGGCACAGGCCCTGCCAGTTTCCCAGGCCCTGTCAATGGGGTGAACCTCATCTGGAGCTCTGTGGACAGGGCTGGACCTTAGCTGGGGTCCTGGGGTAAAGGGGGAGCACATCTCTGCTCCCTTCCCGGCTCAGCTGGATGAGGGGAGCAGGATGCAGGCTTCCAATTCCACACCCCATGGTTGGGGAGAGGGCCCAGGAGCCCCCATCCTGCAATGGCTACTCTCCTGCCCTCCCCCCAGGCCCTTTTTATGGAAGTGCCCACCAATCCAACACCCTGACACGCCTCTGAACTTGTGCACCTGTCGCTTAGAAGAAAACCAAACATACCGAAACCATGGGCCCTAAAGACATGGTGCAAGGAGGGGCGAAGGAAGCGGAGAGCAGAAATACTTTGCCAAGAGCCAGCCAGGGCTCCTCTGTTGGGAGCCTGGTGGGGTGGCCATGCCACGGATCCTTGAGCTGTCCCCAGGGGCGCCAGGGCCAGCATGCTGGGTGTTCTGGCTTCTGAGGAGCAGGACAGCCCCTGGCATGAGGGGAGAAGGGCATGGCCACAACAGGACAAGAGCTAATACTGACGGAAAACAGGCGATCTGCGGTGCTGCCTCCAGGAAGCAGCTTGGGGAACCCGCCCCACACCAGCCCTGCCACCTCCAGGTCCATCTCTCACCCTGGAGTCTTTGATGAGGGGTCAAAGGTGAACTCTGGACAGAGGGTGGTGCGAATCCAGATGAGATAGTGGCAGGAAAGGGCTTTGTTTCTTCCAGTCCGGGCAGCTCCCCAGAGCTTTTCCTTTCTTTTCTGGATATTTTTTCACTCCCACTGGCCCCTGAAGCGAGTCCTGCCACAGTCCTGGCTCCATCTTGCCTCTTCATGCAACACAGTGAGCAGTATTCAGTGCCTTCTCAGCACCTACTGTATTCCCTTTGTCCTGGGGGCGGGGGGTAGGAGGAGGGGCCAAGCTGTGCCCAGAAAACCCACTGGACCCCCAGTCTTCAAGGAGTCCCTGAAAATTGAGCTGGCCAGGCAGAGCACCAGCTGGCGACCTGCAAACTCTTCACGTGCACAAGTAGGTTTTCTCAGCGGGAGCCTGGGAGCCCAGTAGCACTGACCAGAACTGAAGATGGTTATATACAATTTATATGTTTTAAAAAGAAAGTACTACTAAATAAAAGGGAGGGAAGGAAGAGAGAGAGAGAGACAGCAAAAGAAAAAAAAAAGGGAAAAAGCAAAGAAAGAGCACCCAGGCCCCCCTGCCCCCCAAGTTCCCAACTCTGGATGCTGCACTTAAATATAGCTCTAGGAAGGTGGGGTGCAGGTAGAGCTCCACTCCGGCTTAACACTACTGGCAAAAGGGGGAGGCGGTGGGGTCAAAACCTTTAAAAACATCTTTCAGGGACCCTGCGTCCTGCTCGCCCTCTCGGGCTGGGCTGTTGCCAGCAAACGGGCTACCGGAACCCGTCTTAGGCGCCTGTTTCACGGTCCCAAAGAGGGTGGGCACAGGCAGGTTGTGCACGCCAGGCTGGGGTGGAGCACCCTCTGGTGGTGGGGTGCCTGTGGCGGTGGCTGGGGCAGCAGCAGCCTTGGGCCGGGGCCGGTTGTAACTGTTGTATCTGTCCGTGGCTATGGCTGAGGCGCCATCCGCACTGGACTTCCCTGATTCAGGCTGTTCCAGTGCAGACTTGCGGACAAATGGGGGCTCCTTAGCCTTGGCAGCTGAGCTCTTGCCGTTGCCCTCGGGGCCCTTAGGCTGGGCAGCCACATCAGTAGCAGGCTCTGCGGCTTTACCACCTGCGTTGGGAGTCCTGGGGTCGTAGAGGCTGATGCCGCTCAGCACGCTGCTCTGCCCGCTCCCACTTCCCTGGCCTAGCCCACCAGCTGCCAGCACTCGGGGGTCATAGGGGGCGGTGGCTGGGGGAGAGGACTCCCCACTGGGACTGGCAGCTGGAGAGGGTGTTTCTGCAGAGCCAGGCTTGGCAGCACGGGAGGCGGCAGCAGAGTCCGCTGGCTTCTGCAGCCGAGGGTCAGTGGGGGCCTTCCGCACCCGGGGGTCACTGGGCTTGTCGCTGGGGCTGGGGGCAGTGGAGGAGCCAGTGGCATTGACAGTCTTGAGGATGCGAGAGAGGAGCTCGAAATCAGGCAGGTTAGAGCCAGATGAGCCGGGGTCCGTGGAGGTACCTGGGCGCTGTCGGGGGTTGGGGGGACCCGCAGTGGTGGTCCGATGCAGCCTGGGGTCCAGGGCAGGCATGGACTGCAGGGCAGCGGGGATGGGGGGCACAACGTCCTGCTTGGGGATGGGCAGGGGGATCAGGTCCTCGGGGTTCCAGAGCACAGTGCGGGCGAAGCTTGGCTTGCTCAGGGTCACATCCTTCTTGATGTGGCTGAACTGCTGCAGCTGAGATCGTGGGTCCCGCAGAGGGTGCCCAGGGAGGGGGTCCAGGGGAATGTTCACAGCCTTCTCCCGCAGGGCCCGCTCCCCTTCCTCTTCTTCTGTAGGGGGTAGCCCGGACACCTTGGAGCCACTGGGGCCTCCAGGGCTGGAATGAAGGCCACCTTCAGGCTTGGAGGCAGGCAGAGAGCGAGCCAGCCGAGGGTCGGAGGGTCCCGTGTCACCTGGGCCTGACCCGCTGGAAGCCTCAGCGTGGCGGGTGAGTCTGGGGTCCCGGCTGAGGCGGGGGTCAGCCAGCCGGCTTCCAGTAGGGTGTCCTTTCTGGAGGCGGGGATCCCCCAACCCACTGCTGCTCAGCTCCCCAACAGAAGCCTGGGGTCGGCTTGACGTCTGCTGCCTCAGGGTCTTAAGGATGGAGGTGACGCTGCTCCCACCCTCGTCCTCATCGCTTGAGTACCAGTTTCCAGTGTCACCTGAGAAAGAGCAGAGGAGCAGGGAGGGGTGAGTGGCCACCACAGACGCCCTCTTGGACCCCACGGCAGCCCACTGGATGAACGCCTCCTCTGCCTCTTACCTCTCAGAACCTCAGTTTCTCCTCTCTTAAGGACCCCCATTCCCCGCAGTGAACAGCCAATGAGCTCAGGCCAGTGAAGTGCTGACCCTGGGAGGCCCTTGGCTGACATTTCTGGACCCTTCCCTGTGTGCCGGCACTGTACTAAATGCTTTGTCTTACTAATTCTCACAACCATCCAGGAGGTAGTGTTATCAGGTATGTTTGACAGATGACAAAAGGAAGGCATGAATGGTGCCCTGAGATGGGGGCAGACCTGGGAGTGAGCTCAGACTCCAAGCCTAGGGTGCCACCTCCTCACCCTGAGAAGGCTTATGCCCCACTGACTCAGGTCTCACTGTACCTGGGGCTCACAGACACTGGCCCCCAGGTCCCCAAAAGGTTACCACATCCCGGGGAAGGGCAGTCACCAACCAAGAGGCGAGGACCAGGTGGGCAGACACGGAAACTAGCCCAAATCCAACCTCCTAGGCAGATAAAACTGGAGCCACCAGAGGAGGGCATTGCCCCCTCATCCCACTGTCCCCACTTGGTCCTGGGCTCCTGTCACGGCCACCCATGGCCTCTGGATTCGGGTTCTAAACACAATTTGCCCTCCCTGTTTCACTCTGGGGTAGACGCCACCAGGTCACTGCGTGGCCCCATGCAGCTTGGCAGCTGTGTGACTGGTCATTACTGGATCTGTCAATAACCAGCTCTCGTCTGCTGGCTTCCTGAGAACATGATCTGGGGTAAGGGGGACTGGGAGCATCTTCCTACAGCCTCCTCTGTAAGGGTGCAGGGAGTAAATCCAGTTGGCTGCCGTCTCCTCCAGGGACCAGCCCACCCCCCTCCTTGATGGGATCAGGGCCTTTCCCGACTCCAAGGCACAGAGGGCAGCCCTGACTTCCAATTTCCTCAGGGACATGCAGCAGCCCCAGCCTGAGGCAGGGGTCCTCCCTGGCCACAGGCTCCCTTCCAGCACAAAACCCATCTAGGTGTTCCCCATCTCTCCCCTGCACGGCAGCCCAGGGGGCCTGCGCCCACCAGGGAAAGCCCCTGCCCCTGGAGAGGACACGTGCCTTCCTCATTCTCCCGGTCCTGCTTGCTGCTCTCAGCCAGCCTCCTTGCTCTCTCCTCCTCCTCCTGCTGCTTCTGCTGGATCCTCAGGTACAGGGCCCTCTGGGCTGAGGGCAGGAAGTCGGGGACACCGGCGCCCGGCTTCGGCCGGCCTGCGGGCCCTCCCTCAGAGAAGCTGTCGGGCTCCAGAGGGTGCTCGGGGAAGAGGTGGTCCCCAGGCTCCCCTGGCAGCTCTTCGTAGTGCCCGTAGTCCTCTGTGGCAGGGAAGAACCGGGGGTTCGTGTCGGGAAGGGCCTCGAGGTGTCAACTCCAACCCACCCATGCCCTCAACAGGAGAACCACCCCTGATGGTGATGGCAATGGGTGAGAATACGCAACCCGTCCCTTCCTACCATCCCAGGGTGGTCCCCACAGAAAGCCCAACAGCGGGGAACAGAGCAGCCAACCAGGAATGTAGCCAGGAAGAGCACGGGGCTCCCGGTGAGGTTTAGTGACATGGGTAACCGCTCATTACACGAAAACAAGACGGAGCGTCATATGGATGTTTACAAAATGCAAAGAAAAGGCTTTGAAAAGACAGACAGAAAACAGTCTCTTTGGAAATGAGATTCGGGAGACAGAGGCTAAGAGATCTTTTTGTTGTTCATTCCACATGCTCTGACCCGTTATAACTTATTTGCCACGAGCACTAGTTTTATGGTTTGTTTGCAATAATCAATAAAGAAAAACACTGTATCACATTGTAAGGTCATAACATGAGCTTAACCACTGGGAATGAGACTGGTAAAGAAAAGAAAGAAACCAAAATGATGCTGAGTGAAATTAGCCAGAGAAAGACAAATGTCACATGATTTCACTTATATGTGGAATCTAATGAACAAAATAAACTGACAAACAGGCCCAGAGGCATGGATGCATGGAGCAGACTGAGGGATCTCAGAGAGGACAGGGGAGGGGGAACAGGAAGAGATTAACCAAAGAACTTGTACACATATGTGCACAGCCCATGGACACAGTGGGGTG